TTTTTTTTTAAATCATTTATAAAAATTAATGTAAAAATAATTACGTATTAATTAAAGAAGAAGGTTACGTGTATAAATCACAATTACATATTCACATATGACTTGCAAAATTTTACATGACAAAATATCACTAAAAAACTAAGAATCATATCTAGCAAATTTTTTTTTTTGTTATACTACTGTAAGATACATTTGAACACTAAAGTTAACCAAACTCGAACCAAATCCAAAGCATTAAGACAAAAAAAAAAGGTCGCTTCTTGCTTTGAGACTTTTATTTTGTTTCATTTTTTCCCTCCTGGCAGAGTGGCTCGAGAAGTCTTTTTTCTACAGGAAATTGAACGAGGTCGATAACCATAAAGATTATGAACTCAATATTGAGTACTGCTAAGTTTCTAAAGTGAACGAAATGAAAGGAGAAAAAGATTGGGTAAACTGGAAGTCATGATCAGTGCTTCATTAGTGAAACAGAAACTGTATAAGGCTTTAAATACTAATACAACTTTTCTACTAATTACAAGCAAACCACTTACAATTTAATATGTCTTGCACTTTCTTTTTATTTTTTATTTTTTTGGAACTAATCAAAAAACTAACTTCTAGCTATCTAGCAACTCGACATATATTCATAACAAATTTATGTTGAAGAGAGGGGTTTTGACGATCTGCCCCTTATGTGGGTTTTGACGATTTGTCCTTTCAGCACTTGACAGTTTATGTTGAAGATATGAGTTTTTTCCCGTTGAGCTTTCAGTCTGCTCGTTAGTGTGCCGAGGTGCTTTTCCAATTTTGGCCCTTAGGTGTGCGTCTATCCCTCTGTGGGTTAGCATTGTAGTAAAACGACTGTTTATCAATGTTGTAATGAAATGCAATTTTCCTTTTCAAAAAAAATATGAATAACAAACTTTATATAGGAGACAATAACAGGACTAATTAGTTATTACCATCAACATTGAGTGAGTGAAAAATAAAAGGCAAGGCAAAAGGAAAAAAAAATCAAACAGTAGATTAAAAAAATATTCTTAAAAAAACATGTTGAAAGCTTTTAGATTAAATAGAGTTGAACAATTTTTGTACTTCAACCAAGAATCTAATAGTTCACACTAAAAAAATAATCTTAAAATATTATTTTTTTTCATAGAAAGATCTTTAATTTATTATTTTTGGAATTATATTTCTGTATATCCTTTAGAATTTATCCTTAACTATATAAAGAAAGAATAGAGTTGAACAATTTTTGTACTTCAACCAAGAATCTAATAGTTCACACTAATCCGATATATATATATATATATATATTATACTTGGAATGTAATGGGTAAGATTTCTCCAAATTACTTATTTATTCTCAAACACCTCACACTTTAATTGCTATTTCAACCTATTTCCACATGCTTTCTTACTTTCGAATAGAAACTAACTTTTGTTACTTCAACTTATTTCCACATGTTTTTTTATTTATTTTACTAGTCTTTAGCGTGCTCCGCATGCATAATTCATTTAAAATTAACAGCTATACAAATTGTTCTTAAAAAAAAAGAAGAAAAATATTCATAAATAAAAGAAATGAAGATAAAAGCGAGAAAAGATTTGAAGCGAAAGATAGGAAAAAAAAGATTTAACTTATATTTTGTTGTGTTTTGTTTTATTTAATTTGTTTTTTTTTTAATTTGGTGTGATATTTTTCAATAAATGTGAAGCTAACACGTGACCACTTATTTGAGCGAACCAACTATAGAGTGCCACATGTTTCTCACTGAAAAAGGCGTCCAATCGCTGACTGACATGTGGCGATTTCACTGAGACCTACCGTACTGAATCACCTTCTCTTACAAAAAAACCGTCTCATTCAGGAAAATTTAAGAAAAAAAAGAAAAAGATAGAGTAAAAAGAATAATTTAAAAAAAAAACAAAAACAAAAAAACCTCACTAATGAAACATTCATTAGGGAAACACAATTAAAAAAAATTTAGACAGGAAAATGGATGAGAATAAATTATTTAAATGGGGAATTAAAAAGAGTATATTTATGGGGGCCAATTTTGAGAAAAGGAAATATATATATATATAATAGGGTAAAAAAGATAGACAAAAAAAGTAAGAATGGAGGGAAAAGGGAGTATAGTTTAAAAATAAGAAAGAGAAAAGAAAGTAAAAAAAAAAAAAGATAAAAAAACTTTAAGAAAGTGAAAAGAAAAAAAAAGACGGGGGGGGGGGAAGAAAAATATATAATAGGGTAAAAAAGATAGACAAAAAAAACAAGAATGGAAGAAAAAAGGAGTATAGTTTAAAAATAAAGAGAAAGAAAGTAAAAAAAAAATTTTTTAAAAAGATAAAAAAAAAAAACTTTAAGAAAGTGAAAGTTAAAAACAAAAAAACAAAAAAAAGTGGGGGGTGGGGGAGGAGGGGGTTAAGGAAACAGGGGTAACGAAACCCCCTCCCAAAAAAAAAAAAACGGATTGCTTTAGTATTGTTGATGATTTTAAGATTATGTAAAAACTTTTTAATATATTGCTAGTGCACATGAAGAGACCAATAAATATAATAGGTGTTTAACTTCATTTTTTTCATCCTTCACAAATATAATTATTTTTTTAGGAAAAATAATATGACATGTAATAATTAGTTTCAATCATACATACTTATAGTAATTTAAATAATATATGTCGATACTGGACATATAATGATAGTATTTGTAAATAATATATATAGGTACTAGACATAGTATAAAAATGCTAAAAAAAGACAGTGCACAAAATACAAAAAAAGGAAAAAAATAAAACTAGATCACTGTTACATTAACATTATTTGAATTTAATGATGAAGAACTACTAATGTTATTTCAACTTGGTTTAAATCAAATACGGAGTTATATTCCAAACAACTTATTCTTTATCTGATATTTTACGCCCTAATTTTTAAATTGTTCAAATTTTCCTTATTAGCTAATTTTTAGAATTTTTTTGGTCATTAATTTGATTAGTTAAATTTGGTTGTCCATGGATTTCCTGACTTGATCTTTAAGTACAATTTTACTATTTTTATTTCCACGATTAAATGTTGTGCTATTACTAGAAGCATATGACATAAATTATAAAATTGTTCATTTTGGAGTTGGATTTAAAATTGTTCATTTTGAACACTATGACATTTTTTTTTTAAGAAAAAAAGAATATTGTTGTTATATTTTCAAGTATTTAAGGTGCATATAGAATGAACAATATGAATTTAGTTTGCAATCATACGATAAACACAAAATGAATCGTTTTTATTTATTTTTATATTTTTATTTATTTAAATACTTCTTGTAGATCTCTTTTAAATATATTCTTTTTAGATGGTTTTTTTTTCCTTCATTGTATACACAATTCTCAAGCCTCTTTTCAACATTAAGAAATAACGCATGACAAAAGTGTTGTTAGCACGACACCATGCTAGTAACTAAAGGACTTTCAAAGTTTCTCAAGTAGCACTCAAGCATATAATGGTGAGGTCACCAAATTTATATGGACAAGTTTCTAATTTGTTTTCTTCTTAATAATTATTTACTATGGATCAAATTGTGAATATATATATATATATATATATTTTGGTGTGGTTTTAATAATTACTCAAAATGTTTATTTTTTAATGAGTATTATTATTTTAATTATGTGATATTAATTCTACAGTTATAATAAATTGAATAGTTAATCAAAAATATTTATGACAATTAGTAAAATTAAATATTTATCACTTCACATCATTAAATATAGAAATTTAATAAGTAACCACAACTATTAAATATCCATCCATATATATTTATGTACGTATATATGTTACTTATAATTGATGATGCATGCTGCCTTCATTAATTGCTATATCATATATATATATATATATTAATATTCATCCATTTAATCATTTAAATTAGGTCATTATGCTTTATTCATACTGTAAATTTAAGTTTTTAATTTAAATTAAGATGTGACATTTTTTTAAAATTTATTAACTATAAAAAAAATTAGATATAATATTTTTAAAAAATTTTTAATTACAAAAATTTAAAACTGAAAAAAATCAGTGCAATGAAAAAGATGTATATAATCTAAGTTTCTATGTGACGTAAGTTCCTTCAATTAAGTGATAATTTTTAAAGAGTAGGAGCCAGTCAAATCACAGGCACAGAACATGTTTTCAGCCAACACGTTGTCTGCAGTGAAAAATATATTGCAAATCTACGACATGAGCTCAAAACTTTCAATACTACAGATTCAGATTGACCTGCAGTACAGGGCAACCTTGAAAGCTTAAAACCTTGTTTGCAGGGGAAAAAAAAAAAAAAAGTGTTGACCTCTAATTGTGCATGGCGATTTCTAGATTATAGTAATGAGAAAAAAAAAAAAATTGTTAATTGAAAACGTTTTAGTCAATCATAAAATGATTACGGGAAGAGTTCTGAGTGGAATACGAGGCATAATTGACAAGATATTCATATAGAATTTCGTTAAGCACGAAAATAATCTTTACGAATTAACTTGTTGTTTTAACATAAAGGCAGATGCATTTTCAAAAAAAAAAAAAAAAAAAAACAAACACAGATGCTTATTATCACAGGCCATACTTCAACCATCAAGACCACTTCCACGTGTCGTACACAGAACCGGCTTTGATGGAATCATTAACAGTTGCACGTGACTCTATCAAACCTTGATTTTGGGTATGTATTGGATTATTGCTTCATAGACTGGAATTTAGTGAAAACAAACTTAATTATTGGGACCGGTCAAAAATTTTAAAAAAGGTGCCAGCGGGTTTGCCGGTGCAAGGACGATTAAGCAAAAGCTGATGACATGACACGTGGACAAAGGAAGACCGTTTGATGGTAATGGGACGACTAAGATTGATCAATCATTCTCGACGAGATTCATTGAAACTGAAAGAGAACTGTAGACAAGTGCGCAGTGAATGTGATAGATTTTCCTTGTTCTCCTCATTCACACAGAAAGATAACTCTCTCTCTCTCCTCCACATACGAAGACAGCAAAAACCCAGTTGCACATATGATAGCGAGAGAGAGAGAGAGAGTAGAACGTCAAGAGAGAGAGTAGAAAGAGAGAGAGAGAGAATAGGCGTGGTTATCTTAAATGAGGGTCGTGTAGCAGAGAGAGAGAGTGCAGTTACCATGGCGGCGTTGCAGGACTCTAATTCCGTGCCATTATTGCTTCGAACAACGAAAGAGAATTGAAAACCCAAAAAAGAAAAAAAAAAAACTTATTTCTCTTTCACCAGTTTTTCTCTCTCGTTTTTTTTTAAAAAAAACCTAAAAATAATTTTGAAATTTGTTCTCGAAAGCTGCAAAGCTCCAACAACAAGATCGATAGAGTCAGAAGAGCCCAGAATCAGAATCCCAAAATCAGGTCAAAACCAAACCAAACCAAACACTAAAACACCCCTCACCTCCACAACAGTAATAGTAACAGTAATAAATAGTAATAATCTCTCCTCTTCTTAATTATATCCCCCCACTTATTCCTTGCGCTCTCTACAGTCCTAATTAACTCGCGAAAATCCGGAGATCTCGAATCGCTCTGTCTTTTTTTTTTCCTAATTGTTTTTTGTTTTATTTGTTGTTAAAATTGATAGTATTACTCAGCTCATGATCTGATATGGATTTTGAGTCTGACCCAAAATCTGGGTGCAAGAAATTATGGCTGGCTTCTTTTGCCTAGGCGGAAGAGATCACCGTCATCATCATCAAACGACAACACCAAGCAAACAAGAGGAAGAAGATCAAAGAGATCAACAACAAAACCTTTTTCTCTACAGATCAAACGACGAAGAGATCCCCAACAATGGTTTCGAGATATGGCCACAATACCATCAGCAGCAGCAGCAGCAACAACAAGGTTTGAGCAACTACATATCGTTTGGATTAACGGGCAGTAGCAGTACCAGCACTCCTCCTAGTGCCTCTCACAGCCGCAGAAACAGCTTCAACATAAACGACGTCGTCGTGTCGTCTGATGATTTTCGGCCGCGGTTGGGATTCACGGTGAACATGATGAGGCAAGGAGGGTTAGGGTCGGGAGGTATGAACTGCCAGGATTGTGGGAACCAAGCGAAGAAAGATTGCCCGCACTTGAGGTGCCGAACTTGCTGCAAAAGCCGAGGGTTTCAGTGCCAAACCCACGTCAAGAGCACTTGGGTTCCTGCTGCCAAACGCCGCGAGAGGCAACAACAACTAGCGTCTTTACAAGCACTCCAAAATCAACAACAAGAACAAACAAACCAACAGTTTCGTGTGGACAATTCCAAAAGGCAGAGAGAGAATCACCGAGGATCTGCCTCTCTCGCTTGCACCACTACCCGCTTGCCGACCAATACGTCAGGTAAAAGTTGTAGTTTACAATACAAACAAAGATCATTAGCCCTGTGAGAAAAGAAAACACAGAAACACAATAGATTTGTCATTTGTGTGTGTGTGTATTAAAGGAATTTTCAAGTGACTGTATAGATAAAAGTTAGAGAAGGAATAATAATAGTATGTGTTAAGCAGGGAATTGAATTCTCCTTTCTTTTCAGCCAATACACAACAAATCCACATCTTTTGCATGTGGGAAAGTCCACCTCCATAGTTACCCACTGACCTGCTTTTCTTCGCTTTTTTTCAAATCTCCCACTGTTTGTCAGTAAAACTGACGAAAAGCTCCTATATACATGACCTTGTGATCTCTTCTTGACCATACTTAGTACTACTTATCATGCTCATCAAATAATAATTAATGATAATTTTTGACGTCTTTGGTTTCTTCGGAGCTGATTTATTAGGGTTGGAGCTGGGAGGAGCATTCCCTGCTGAGGTGAATTCGTCAGCGGTTTTTCGCTGCGTGAGAGTAAGCGCAATGGACGACGCGGATGAGCATTACGCGTATCAGACGGCTGTGAACATAGGAGGGCACGTTTTCAGGGGTATTCTTTACGACCAAGGGCTAGATGGTCATTTCACTAGCGCCGGTACAGGCGAGGGCTCTTCGGCACGCTGCGAAGACGACGGAACGCAACAGCTTAATCTCATATGTGCAGCCACAAACACCACCACTGCCGCAACGACTACCGCCGGTACTAATAATCCATCTTCATCTATGTCGTTGCTTGACCGTTCACTAGTTTACCCAACTCCAATCAATGCTTTTATGGCCGGTACGCAATTCTTCCCACCCCCAAGGTCTTGACGGGAGAAAAAAAAAAAGTCTCTCCTAGCTCGAGCCTTATAACTTCTTCCACTTTTATTTTTACTTTTGTTTCCTCTTTTAACGAAATGTTGATCAATTGTCGGCTATTAGTCTAGCATATTTGGTTCTAGTTCTGGTTTTTAAGTACTCCTTAACATGCACTGAAGTAGAAGCGAAGGCCTAGGGGAAGTCATAGTAGAAGTACTATTAGAGAAATAGGACATGATCGAGAAGGAGAATATTATGATGATGATATGGATGTTTTGTTTTGTTTTCGAATTTCAATTCGGATTCTCATGTTAATTTATTTAATTTGATGATGAGTACTTACCCATTTATCAATTCTCAGATATCTGCGAGTTTTTCTCTTTGAATATTGTTTGTTTAATGTTATGAGGTTGTTCGTTAGTTTATAATATTATTTATTTTCTTTTCTGGGTCGATATTGAATGCCCTTTCTGCTTGGTGCTGAACTCGAAGCTGCTTTTTCCTGTTTATCCGATTGCTTGCCGGATGAAATTATGGGGATCATGAGTAGGTTTCGTTTCGTGTTTGGTTAAGCAAAGAATTTAACATGAATATTTAATTTTTGTGTCGCTAGAAAAATATTGTGAAGAGAGGAGAGGAAAAAGAGGGGGGAATTTGGGAGGTCCACTCTTGGTGTAATATTATTGGATATTGGCTTATATGTACCTATAAGCCATTCTCTGATCAGTACCACAAATAGTGAAACCGGCACTTGTTTCCCTTTCTGAATACACCTATTTGGTTACGTAAATGCTTTCTTACAAGAGGCAGTATTCATGCCAACTACTTATCTGCAGAACAATAAAATTTAGCATTTGAAATAGACGTGCATGGATGTGACCCTTTGTAATATTATACGAGAGATCAAGTTTAGTTTGTTGCTATATTAATAAGCTGTGATCCCTATAAATATTACATGCAGTTTGTAGACTGTGAACTAGATGATATATATATATATATATGTATATATAGGATGAGAGTTCATATAAATGTACACAATTGATGCGCTAGCTAGCGTAAGATAACGCTTCCATAGACACTGCTAGATTTGGATAAATGTGAAATAACACAAAGGTTGCGAGAAACTTCCTTGGTATCGCAATATGTAAACCCGTGACATGTGTCATCTTCCTGCATTTTGGTTCCCTTGATAAAATTAACATTTTGTTTTTTTCAAAAGTCGTCTTTGCATTTTTTTTTTTTTTTGTTTAGGCATTTCTTAGAATATGTAAACATGGGACCAAGATGGAAAGCTGGTTTTCCATATATTTATATGTATATTTAGGAGTTCACAAGATTTGATACTTTGTCTCTACATATACTTTGGAGTTCGGCCGCTATGTTAAAAAAAAAAAAAAAGAAATTTTAGCCGTTTGATTCCGTGAAACTGGAAGATAATATTAAGAATTCACGATAGAGCTACAACCAATATTCTACCAGTACTATGTATTTAAGTAGCATAAAAATCAATCTTAGTAATAGAAAACAAATTAGTGTAATCTTAACAATCACGTTAAAATCTTAGAATTTGGAGATGAAGTTCTTTGATCGACACGGCTAATTGGCTAGAGAATTAGTCAATGTTGCGTTTAACTGATCAAACTGAAAACATGTGATGATATGCCTTAAATCATATATATCTAGGTGGTATATATAGAAATGTGTAATGGGGTATTATTTGTGTACGATTATTGTATGCTATTTAGTATACACCACATGCACATCCTCGCAACTCGCAAGGATGCATCCTTGCAAGGAGTCAAGTTCTTTTTTTACTTGCAATTCTCATAGCTCGTTTGGATTGTTGATCAGATCGATTATGATCCAATAATCAGAATTAAAAGTCCGTTGATAAATTATGACTCTTAAAACACATCGAATCAGTCGAATCACAGTTTAATTTGAAGTTTAAAGTGAATGAAGTAACCGATATGTCTATTGCAACCAATGACCCATTATGAATATATATACATGATTTTGGCTATATTTATAAACTCTAACTGCTATTTCTACCTGTTCAAATTTGAATTAATAAGTGATATGTATATTGTATATACAAATATATAGCCAAAATCATTGTTTCAGATGCCTTAATAAGTGATATGTATATTGTAACCAATACACCTCTTTTTTTTTTTTTTTTTTGCTATAAATATACTCCAATATGATAGTAATTTTATTTTTATTTTGGGAATTCTATAAGATTGCTACTTATTGAATTTAATGAATTTGTTGTATCTTAGAGGTAATAATTTGTCATTAATCTATGTTAGCAAACTTTTATAACGGGGGCAAATACCAGATTAAGAAAATATATAGTTATTCTTACACCTCAAGCCTACAATTAATATCTTGTTTTTCTGCAGTACCCAAGCCAAATCACCGTCAGATTTTCTTTAACAGTTTATATAAGCTTATATGTTTTGCATTTATAAATTGAAGGCATATCGATTTTGCTACTCTCATTAATTACTTCAAATGCATATTAGGAGCTAAAAGACTCGAGGTTGTTCTTTTGAAGTGTAACTTGAGTGTAATTTTTGAGTTGAATTTGAGTTATAACTTGAGTTAAAGTTGTAACTAAAATAAAGTTGAGTAAAGTTGAATAAAGTTAAAACTTAAAAGAACGTAAACTTGAATAAAATTGTAACTTAAGTTTAAATTTTTTCTGAATTTTATTGCAAAAGAACAACCCGTCAGTTTCCTGAAAATCAACATTACCTGCAGCAGTAATCATCAATTTATGGGAATATAATCCTTTTCCCCGATTTGCTCAATAATTTTCGTTGTCGTAAAGGTGTACTAGGAGTACTTATAGTAGCAATAAACATGATTACCAAAAGATCCAATCCTCTGTTCAACGTTTGATATCATAATTAGTGTTTAACTAATCAAATTATATATACCACATCATCTCATAATAATCATAACAAAGTTAGTTAAAAAATAGTTTAAATTTTTATACAACACAACATAATATGATTGATTAAATGCCAATTAAGATATTAAGATTTAACAGAGAATCTGAGTCTATTTCCAGCCGTTCTTTAAGGTGACCTGCGATTATATAGTGAATACGTTATCTAATTTTCTTAAATAACATAATGCATGGTTTCTGGTGCCCTAGCTAGACTGGTTCCTTACATCTAGCTAGGTTTTTGGTCACTTTGATGATTTAACTGCTAAATGCTAATTAATTAACCGTACAATGACATTTATAAGTTAATGTCAAGTAGAAACTGGAGATGTACCAAAAAATATATATTATTCACTGCCAGCTTCGCCGACAAAATATAGTACTCTGACAAGATCTATAATACCTCACCCAAATCCAACCAAATCATAATACATATAATGCAGGATTAGTGCTACGGCTATTTACGTACAAGTACTTATTTTCTTTTTAACTGTTCAACTATGTTAATTTGAAGAGTACTGGAGTTAGGCATGCATTTTGAAACGGCAATCTCTGGGTCATAAATCTTTAATTATGAGCCGATATAGCCAAATTATACAGTTGGTAAAGACACGCCGAAACGTGATTTAAAGTTGGGGAGACAAACAACGCGTTAGGAACTGAACAAGTATGGATAGAGTGGTCCGGTAGTGGGTCATTCATCCCTAGACAACTATATTATATTTAAGAGCAAAAGGCTGAACATTTGCGTGCATATTTAAGCGCCAATAATACCATGAGGTCATGAGTTATATAATAAATTTCTTTCAAAGCTTAGATATATACCTATATGGTTTTAGGGCGGACCAAGATGTACGTTTTTTTGGACATAAAGAAGTTTAATGAAGAAAAAGAAAATGTTGAGTCTGCAAAGAAAATTTTTCAAAAAAGAAAAAGAAGCGAAATATTATTTTTGGTACAAAATAGGGAAATTGTAAGAGGTATACATAGATGATCGTAGAAGAGAGCTTGTTGTACAGTTATTAATTTGTCGTTTTTCCTTATCCGGTGTGGTGGTGTCTCACAAAGTCGTAACAGTAGTCATCATGCGTAGTTTGTGACTGAAGTACCTAGAGTGGAGGCAACTAGCAACTGTAGGGTTTCAAGGGGAAAAAAAAAAAGAAAAAAAAATAGCAGCTGTAGATTTAGATGCCTAGGCAACCGTGACACCTATGGCGTCCTATGACCCCTCTTTGGCTTTGTGTCTCAAATGCAAAGCCCTGCTGCCAAGGGCTATAGGGAGAAAGGTAGGACACTTCCTTTCTTCTTCCTCTTCTTTTTTTCTTTTTCTAATACGTGATTGGTATTTTGCGTTTCAAATAAAAGAAAATCACATATTACTTTTGACAATCACATAAATCAGAACACATATTTGTATATAATTCAGAAATGCACATCATGATCAATAAGGATAATATGTCAGAAAGAAAGAATGTTATAATTAACGATTGATGGCGCATTGAGACGGTTCCATTCGTTTCCTTAGTTTAAATTACAATTCAAATTTTTGTTAAAATATTTTTTCTCACAAAAATTAAAATTTAAGTTTGTCTGTTAAAGTGCTCTCTCAAATGAGTTTACTTTTTAACTCTAATTCTAAACTTAAACGGGCAAAATGAACAGTAAGACATGAAGTTGTAATTGAGTGAAACTGTGTTATAAATTACTAATTAATGGTTACTTCAATATTTACTTATTAAAAAGTATCATTATTTTAACTATAAGATCATATAGATCTAATAATTGTAATAATTAAATTGAATAATTAACTTTCAAAATATATGACAATTAATAAAATTAAAATTTTATTACATCACGTCATTAAATTTATATATTTAATAAATAATTATATATAAACGTAATCATTAAAAAGAAAATAGAAAGTCTCTCCTCCTAGTTAAATGACTTAATTTGTAAGTCAATATATCAGCAACAATTGTCCCAAAAATTAGTAAGGATATGACGGTTTTGTTTTTCCCTCCGACTTGAGTACTAGAACTTTAGAGTAGTACTATATTTGTAATCATACAATAAAGCATAGTCATCAACCTCCACAACTGCTCTGTTTAGTTCGCTGATTTGATTTTTTAATTTGAATTGAGATGTAATTTTATGTGAGAGCTTTTTACTGTAATAAAAAAGTTAAATGTGATTATTTATGAGAGTTTTTTACTGTAACAAAACTCAAATTCTAAACTCGAATCAGTGAAATAAACAGGGCAAATCAGCCAATA